AGCAATGCGGAAAAAACGCTGGAGGCTGGTGTGTTTCAAGATAAGCGCGCGTGGTTTGCTCGCACGGCCCCTCCGCGGTGGTCTAGTGGCTAAGGTACTCTGCTGCTGACCCGCAGGTCGCGGGTTCGAATCCCGGCTGTGGACTCTGCATTTCCGATGGAGGCGGAAATGTTGTAGGCCCTTGTGCTCAGATTTGGGTGCGCGTTAAAGAACCCCATGTGGTCGAAATTTCGGGAACCCTCCACTAAATTGTCTCTCATAATCATGTTGGGACGTTAAACCCCACATATCGATCAATCAAATCAATGCTTTGATCTCACGAACAGCAGATATTTGACAGTCACGCAGCAATATGATCAGCAAAGGACACAAAAAAAGACCGATTGCGTGATCCGTAATGGACTATTGGAGCGCAGCTTATTAGGTGCCTACATTTTGCGAATGTGAGGTAGTGCTCGAGAGAAAATGCATGTATTTTCGGTGGTGGTGACGACATTATGCTTCGGTTGGGCGCATAGGTGTGGGCAGGGTTCACCATCAGGGCGGAGGGGCAAAGGTTCGAGGTTTGTCGCAGTGCCCCTCCCCCCTGGTATGTTGATGTATGGGCATGACTGACATTGCGCCCCCCCCCCCTCCATTATTATGGGACTACGGGTGGACACCTGCGCCCTTCCCCCCACCCCCTCGTGTGTACACCTGAAGTTGTACGAACGGTATACAAAAGGGTACTCTCGATGGTGGTGGAGCTTATAGACCTTTTCATCGAAGGCTTACTACATGCCTCCGTAATCTCCTCTGAGCTGTGCTAAATAGGCTCGACCGCACCGAAAATGCACTGCCGAGGTAGGGACGTCGGCCTTCGTACTGCCCTGCAATAGCCTGGGAAAGAGGTCCTCTTTCTCTCCTGCGAAAAGGCCTACAGCTGCTGCTGCTTCGGTGGCACAAACCTGTGGGCTTTAGCGTCTGCATCTCTGAGCGTGTGCTCGGACAGCTCGTTCAGCAGCACTCGCAAAGGACTCCCACATGTTGCGCCCCTCAATGTGAAGAGGGAGCTTTGAGTGTGCATGGTTGGCGTGGATCGTGTAGCCAGGCTATGGACCACGAGCGCTTCGTGAACTCGCCTTGCGCTGTGTTTCCCCAATTGCTACTCTGCTCAACTTTTCTCCTCCTTTTTTCTGTTATAACATCCTCCTCTCTATCTCTTCCTTATCCCTCTCACTCATTTTCTATTGAGCTTCACTTTTTCATCGCCCTTGGCGCCAATAGCTTGTTCACCCCGTTACGCCACCGACGACACTGCCAACTGCCCCGCGGTACGAGTAGAGTGGGCACTCAAAAGCTGTCACATGGTGGGCATGCAGATCTATGAACTAATACATCGTCCGTTATTACATCGAAATAAAATCCTCACATTGGCCAGCTTTCCTTCAAACGCCAGAAGGTCGTTCGAAAGTTGTTCGAGTTCGTCTTCACACAGGTGAGGCTTCATGAACTTCATGGACACTTTCATCAGGTTCTTGTAGGCCGCGATGATTGGCTTGCTGCTGTTGGTGGTTTGATTGATGAGCTGGTTTCTGCCCACCATCGGAAATGAGAGTTGGTCTAGCTGAAAAAAAAAAAAAGGAACGGTGAGCGTAAATCGTCAGTGCACGGACACTCGAAGCATGAAATTTCAAATTTACTCGCGATTTCCATGTCAATGTCTTGTTTACATGTGAATTTACAAGTGAAAATGAATAATTGAGCTTAGCGTGAAAGACGCAGCACTGATAGCGATAACAATGCAATAACAACCTGTATGAGTCCTAGTCCGTCGCTGGATTAATTTAACGAGCATGACATCGTGAGCGCACAGGCAGATACCGTGGCCTCCGTGATCAGCTCCAGCTGTTCGCTTGTTACGGAACTATTCGCGGAGGCCGCGTATAGGTATGAACGCACTAAATTTAATCAGCGCGAACGCTTCACGTGCTCCTGCGTTTGAGGTTACGTGTTATAACGCGTGCTGAGAGAGAAAAAGCAGGGTACTTTATGGCGCCCCGAAGCTAATCATGGGTCTCCTCGATTCGGCTGCACTTTTAGGACGTAGTTCACGAAAGTGTCGTGCCAGTGCCGCGCCAGTTCCTCTTTATATGTGCAACATGACAGTAGTGGTTTCGGTGCAGCGGTCGTATTGAGGGCAGACGTTCAGCCACGCCGTGTGCCTTGCGTTTACCTGCCTAATAATACGAGAACTCGCGGGGAAGCGAATGCTGAAGTGCCGATCAACTCTTGCAGCACGATGTCAAATCGAGTGCAGAAATTCTATCTATCTATCTATCTATCTATCTATCTATCTATCTATCTATCTATCTATCTATCTATCTATCTATCTATCTATCTATCTATCTATCTATCTATTTAGTGAGCGCGAGCTTCACTCGCTAAATCGAAGGACCAAAGTGCAGCACTCTTGAAATGGTGCAGAAAGTGCAGCCGAACCGAGACCTCGTGGTGACCATGGTGAAACCTAGCTCTTATTGGTGCAAGTGCGGAGGGCGAGCTTCGCTGAAAAGGTTTGTTGCGCCCAGAGTGCCCTGATTCCCCTGCTACGCGTCCAGTGTTCGTGGTAGCGTAGTTTCATGTCTTGGGACGACGGAAGGTACAAATGCTGTAGCGAGCCACGGCACAAAGTACAAACAGAAACGTGGAACGAAAAATCTGTTCGTTCCACGTTTCTCACTTAACGGCGTTGTGACAGTACGTCCTTGCTGGCGCTGTATTGCCTATTCGTGCTTGGGATGCGCTGCAAGGTATGAAACACGAGAAACAACGCAGGGTGATGCGCAAACACTGTGTTGTTTCGTGTTGTTTCTGGCTTTTCATACTTTGCAGGGCATCACAAGCAAGAAGACGTAGCAACGATAACCCCTATCGCCGCCTTACTAGTATTGATTGCCGGTGCCTATCGTAATAGGGAAGCGAATGTGTACTGTAATTTGATGACTATATCACTCTGGCATTTCTGTATATGGTACATATGTCTGGTTACCTTACTGCATCATTTTTCAGAAATTTTGGCAAAATGAAATTTATGTTTCGAAACGTTATTTCTAGTGTTACCAGAATCACGTAGCGGCTGAGATTCTTGGAATCCCTCGAAACGTCAGCCTGGAGAACTGCTGAAATTCTCAATTTTGCGAGCACGGCCGTGGCGTTCGGGGCGTTGCCTTCTGCGCACGCTTGCTGGCGCGTTTTGGGCCAATCGGCGAGTCCCGAAGCGTTCATTATGAACTGGACGACGTCCTGACGGTCGTCGAGGTCCGGAACAGCTGAAACAATTAAAAGCGGACGGGGAGGAGAAAGTAAATAACACCGCTGCTATGATGATACAGATTACGTAGACAAGGGACGTAGCCAAGGGGTATGGTTGGGGGGAAAGGGTGCAAACTCTACCCGAGGTTTTCACTTTTGCTTGCACACACACACACACACACACACACACACACATATATATATATATATATATATATATATATATATATATATATATATATATATATATATATATATATATATATATATATATATATTTATATACATGGAAAGAGAGAGAGAGAGAGAGAGAAAGACGCGCTGACACGTACAAGTCCACGCACGAACGTACATAAAGTATGATTGACCCCCTGCCCCCCTACACCGCACAAAAGTTAAGGATACGCTACTGGCGTGGACATTGGACACACCAGTAAGAGAGAAAGAAAAAAAAGAACAAGCCATTTCACTTCGTGTAAGTGTAGCACCAGCAGATCTATGTCAACGCGCGACTCAGATGGGACAAAAAAAATTCGAAACTAAGCCGATCATACACCCGGAAATGAATGGCTGGTATACCTAGAATAAAACCCAGCGCTTACACGCCCAGCCCCACTCCCGAAGTCCCTTCGTGATTTTTTTTCTTTCTCTCTGCACTGTCTGTGCCTCACTCCCGTTACGCGAAGAAAAGGCCTCAGCGAAAATTGACCATACTCCTCAATGTACGGTAATTGAGGAGTGTAATTGACCATACTCCTCAATGGCCATACTCCTCAACGACCACTCACCCACGCATGCATTGTAGACAAGGGCTGCTTTGTCCGTCACGTTCTGGTTCTCTTCAACAAGAGTCACGTTCCCTAGAATGTCTGAAACGATCAAGGCCAACGTCACTATAAGGGCTGATATCTTTAACAAAACAACACAGTAAGGTGTTATTAGACCTTTCCAATGTACCTAGAAGTGTACTCTCATTCACGTCAACGTCCCTGAAGTTCTGAGAGTCGATGACACCTGAAAGCCATTTAAGTTCTGGGTTCACGATACGTGTAATGTTATTTGAACTACAGTGCCTGCATGGTAAATAGCGTTCTGTAGTTCGGCGGAAGGTTCGTTTCGTAGGCCACGCTTGTCCATGACATCTGGCAATGACACAGAAGCTGGATGTTAAGCGGGAAAATAAACCCAGTTTTAAAAGGGACGTACGTTAACAGTTGTACCACTCCGGTTGTACCTTCGTACAAAAATTCAACGTTCCAGGTAAGATGACGTACCTCGGAGCGTTTCCTTGAGCTGGTCCGCTAAGAGATAGAAACCGCCCGTCGATGACTTGGTCTCTGGTATCGTATGTTTGGCCATCCACCCACCGCAGGCGTAAGAGTAAAAATCGGTGCACGGGTCGGCGGACGTGTTCAAAGACTCCGTAATAAGCTTGGCTGCGTCGAACAACATCAACAAAAACATCGTGGTTGAAGGATTGCCGCATCTGATTTTCAAACATCTCGCAACGTTGTAACTCTACTTTCGGCAGTTTATGATGCACCTGCGATAAGTTTTTATAGGTGTTCCAAGTAACGATCATGACGAGTACTCGGGAAAATGCTCGTTTTCTTATCTCTCTCTCTCTCTCTCTCTCTCTCTCTCTCTGTGTGTGTGTGTGTGTGTGTGTGTGCGTGTGTGTGTGCGTGTGCGTGTGTGTGTGTGCGTGTGTGTGTGCGTGTGTGCGCGCGCATGTGTGTGCGTGCGTGCGTGTGTGTGTGTGTGTGTGTGTGTGTGTGTGTGTGTGTGTGTGTGTGTGTGTGTGTGTGTGTGTGTGTGTGTGTGTGTGTGTGTGTGTGTTTACAGCACCGTTGAATTTGTTCGCGTCACGTCGAGATCGCGTCCGTTGACAAACGGACGTGGAGATGAACGATTAAGGAGCTCTTCGCCTCCTTGCTGCCGCAGGTGACCCTCGCCACCGTCGATGCCCGATTCACAACCGTTGCGATACTCGGAGGCGATGCTTCCTACCAAACGCTCTGTGTGCACCCTTTCTCTCCTGACGTCTACAGGTTGTGACAGCGCTGTTATCAACAGTCGCCCTTTGAACTCACTAACGAGACGGACGCGGTTATACTTTGCTCATAGAAAATATAGTCAGAATTTAAGGCACGCCAACGAGTGCGAAAACGACGTGTATTAGTGATTGAGTGAAAAAAGGGGGTGGGGCCGAAGGAGAGGAAGGGAAATCTTTTATGCAGTCCCAGCAGCCACCCGTCACCACTTCGCGTGGCTTAACGTCAATCTTGATAAAACCCACTAGATACTGAAGGAAAAGATGGGGTGGGGGGGACGTCAATTGTCCCCTATAGATTCTTTTGCTTCATTATCGGTCGGGTCTTATTAAGAATGTATCAACGAAACGATCCCTTAAAATTCCATTTCCTTCGTTCATTCATATAGCGACGGTATTGTTCACACAGACGTGACGCCTTCATATGGTATACGTGGGTATGTTAATGAGCTGTCCACTCGTTAAAAGATCACGTGCTACGTGACGTCAGAAGGCAAAAAGAGAGTTCCGCACCACGGTGTAATGAATTCCACACCCGCGGTCATGGCTACGAGCGGCGCTGACTAACCCTCCCAGGTTTTCATGAACATGAACACCCGATATTGTGTAAGGAGGGAAGGCCGCAGCCCTATAGCTCTATTGGTAACAGCATCGGGTGCGTGGTCTATAGGCTCGTTCCCTGCTGTGTAGGTGGTGAACATTTTACATGAACACTTCGATTATTTCATAGCTTCACGTTTGCAAAACCAACAGTTAGTTTTACATAGTTCCTTCTTGATTTAGGAAGCAAAATATTATGTTGTGTAGCGAACCTTGTATTATTTGTACTTGCAAGATTTTTCGACCAGTGGTATGAAACAATTGCGGATTCCTAAGCATGCAATAAATGACGCTGCCGTTGTGGTAGATGGGCTTATTTTTTAGTGCGAAAATCGAATGCAGTGAAAATGGAGGTAACACGATCGTTGTAAAGAGCCGCAGTGATGATACGAACAGCGTTATTTTGTATGTATAGGGCAAAGGGGCAACATGACAGTGATGTGCGCGGCCGCAAATGTTCTTATACAATAATTTATCTGTCTGAAGATGAAGGCATAGTGTAATGTCAATGAAAGTGAGCCTTCGAAAGTAGTGCCTGGCATTTAAAAGCAGTTTGGCGCTGTGAGCGACCTTCTTTTTTATAAGAGTGTGGTGAATGGATTATGGAACTCTATAGAGTACTCAGAGACGTGGCTAACACGAAGTGGTGTGAATGTTCCAGTGCAGAGGTGAATCAACCTCAATACCAAAAAAAAAAAAGAACATTCGTTAGATGCCCACAACCGACAACGACGACAACGCAGTCACTCCGTTGCAGCCGCAACCGGTAGGCGCCGGTAACGACGACGGCGAGAGCGCACCCAAGAAACGCGCGGTCGCCCACGACCAGCCAGCCTTAAAGGCAGAGTTAGACGACATTAAGAGCACGCTATCGGCGATTAAGGAAAGCCTTCGCTTTCTTGGCGAAAGCATGGCTCTCGTGCAGTCTACTCTCGCGGTACACGGTAATCGTTTGGGCCAAGTGGAGCAATATCTTGATCACGTAGTCGCCCCTGCCGTTGCCGCGGATTAGCCGTTGTCGCAACGTACAGTCGTGCCCAGTCCACCGCATCACGCAGCCCTTATGCACCCGCCGGGTGCTGAGGCCAACTCCTAAATGCTTCAAGATGGCCAGGCCTGTTGACAAGTTGCGAATCTGGCAATGGAACTGCAGGAGCTTCACCCACAAGAAAGCTTTCCTGCAGCAATACCTCCGTAACCGAAAAGATGGACAGTCGTCTTGCCCACCTACTAGAGGCCAAACAGTCTCTATTGGCCTGGTGGAAGGGCCAGCGCCTTAATCGGAGGTTACGCAAACGCATATCTCAGCTGAACAAGACCATGATGGATCACTGCCGCATCCTTTCAAAACAGCATTGGGACGAAATTTGTAATTCGATCGATGGTCAGGTCCGAAATGGCAAAACGTGGAACTTACTCAAACACCTCCTCAATGAAACCAACACCCGCACAAATCAGCGTCATTCGATCGTGAAGATACTTCATCAGGCTAAACGGACAGTGTCACCGGAAGATGTTGTCAAGAACCTCGTGGAAAAATATCTCCCGCTTCCCACGGGCCCTGTGACCCCTCACCCTGATTACTCTGGCAGCGACAACACTAACTTAGACGCCGACTTCTCTATTGAAGATGTGCGCCGAGCTCTCCATGAGCTCAATGGCCGCTCAGCCCCTGGCCCCAATGGCATCACCAACAAGCTCCTACGCAACCTGGACGATTCCTCCGTCACTTACCTCACTGACACTATCAACGAGATATGGAAAAAGGGTGAGATACCCGATGCTTGGAAACTAGCTCACATGGTTCTCATACCCAAACCGGGAAAGGCGCCGAGCCTAGATAACCTACGCCCCATATCTCTCACGTCGTGTGTGGGCAAAGTAGCTGAGCACGTCGTTCTCAACAGGGTTGGTCGATACCTCGAAGATAACGACTGCATCCCGCACCACATGATTGGCTTCCGACCAGGGTTATCCACACAAGACGCCATGTTACTCCTAAAGCATCAAATTCTAGATGGCGGGAACACTCGGGACACTCGTGCAATACTCGGTCTCGATTTAGAAAAGGCCTTTGATACAATAACGCACTCGTCAATCTTGAAAGCAATCGCAGGCCTCGGCCTGGGTCATCGATTTTACTACTTTATCCGCTCTTTTCTCACTCGACGCAGAGCCGTCCTCCGCGTAGGAGACCTAGTGTCGGAAGAAGTGGAGCTCGGGCAGCGGGGCACTCCTCAGGGATCCGTCCTCTCACCCACGCTCTTCAACCTCGTGATGATCGGGCTTTCCGAACGACTTTCAAAAATAGACGGGCTAAATCACACTATCTATGCGGATGATGTAACCATATGGTGCTCCACAGGGTCGGATGGCTTCATTGAGTCCGCCCTGCAAGAGGCTATCGACACCACCGAGTTTTACCTCGACCACACCGGTCTCAGGTGCTCACCTGCGAAGTCGGAGCTGTTGATATATTTGCCCAAACGCCGGGGTGCCAAGCCCAAAGGGTGGAAACCTCCGGCAGAACGCGATATCACCCTCCACACCAGAGATGGTCGTACTATACCCAGGGTAGACACCATCAAGGTCCTCGGCATGATCATCGAGTCCCGCGGAACCAACACCCAAACAGTGCACAAGCTCAGGACTAAGACTGAGAATGCCATACGACTCGTACGTAGAGTAGCCAACAGGCACCATGGTCTCAAAGAAGACAACCTGTTGCGTCTCGTACACGCGTTTGTTTTGTGCCATTTTACCTACGTTGCCGCTATACACAAGTGGCTGCGTGCTGAGCGCGATCAACTCAATGCGCTTATTCGCAAGGTGGTCAAACGAGCCCTTGGCCTCCCTATCACCACTCCAACGTACAAACTCCTCGAGCTTGGCGTACATAACACGCTAGAAGAGATCGCCGATGCTCAGGAACGTGTGCAATTGACCCGACTCACTACCACCAAGGCGGGCCGCCATATTCTGCGCGAGCTCGGCTTCTTCTCCTCGAGGGCCAGGGACCCCCCAGAGTTGACTAGATCTAATTCCCCGTGAAATCCGCGATCTTATCACGATCGCTCCCATACCACTAAATGTACACCCCGAATACAACAGAGGCAGGCGCCTTGCGTGGGCGACCGCAATTCTGAAGCACATAGACACGGAAGCGGACAACGTCTCGTTCGTGGACGCCGCTGCCTATCGCAACAACCAAGCCTTCACCGCGGTCGCGGTATCATCCGCGCAGCAGACTCTTTAACTCAGCCACAATCCTCACCCGAAAACCCGAAGTAGCGGAGCAAGTAGCTATAGCTATAGCTATGCTCGACAGCAAACGGGAATTCATCTACAGTGACTCCAGGCCGGCCATCAAAGCCTTCGAACGCGGAGTCATCTCCGACCAGGCGTTACGTATCCTGCGCAATGCGGACCCGAGTGCCCTGAAGCACCACACTGTCATCTGGTTCCCCGCCCATCTCGGCCAGGTGCCGGGTGCCCTATCCAACCTCAACGAGATCGCCCATGATGCAGCGCGCGCACTTACTGACCGCACTGCCACAGGGCAACCTCATCTTGCTGGGTTAGATACCAATCGGGATGCACCAATTACGTACAATGAAATCACAAAGCACTTTTACTTGGAACGCCGCATTTTTCCACCCCCACATCCGAAACTTAACCGACCGCAGGCATTAACCCTATGCCTATTACAGACACACACGTACTCAAACCTTGCGACGCTTCACGTTTATTATCCCGATGCATACCCCAGCGACACATGCCCATCATGTGGACACACAGTGACACTCGCACACATGCTCTGGGAGTGTGGAACAACTCCTCTCGACTCTACTTCAAGCAAGTGGGAGAGGTCCCTCAGGAGCTCACTTCTCGCCGACCAGCAATGGGCCGTCCAGCAGGCCCACGAAGCGGCCGCCAGGTACTCCCTGTCGGTCCCTACGTGGGAGACGCCCGCTACGCGCTAAGCGCGTCCTGCAGGACTGAAATAAAGTTTTTTCATTCCATTCCATTAGATGCTGGTAATTAGGTGGGATCCTATGTACACTGAAAGAATATTAGATTGAGGTTTATTGTGCGAGTTAAAAACTATAAATTTTGTCTTCTACGGGTTTATGAGCAACTTTTTTAGCAGGAACACTTGATATTATTAGGTCATGGTTCAACCTGTTTGTTAGTGCACTTATGACGGTATCATATGCTTAAAGAAACACTAAAGGTAAATATTAAGTCTTGATTGGTGAAATACGGCTCCAGATACCTCTCATCTCTGCAGGGCTGCTTTTGTGCGAAGGAAGTGACTATTTTGAAATAGAATCACGTTTTAGAGGTCCGCATCGCGTTACCGCACTTCAGATCCCCTCACGTAAATGGTCCGTCTCACGTCACACACGTCACTGTTGCCGTGCACAACGTTGCCCGGCTTTACTGCCCGGCCACCGACACTAGTAGCAGCAGCGTGAAAATAGCGGGAGCCACCACAGTAACATTGGACATTCAACAATCTGCTGCCATCTCGGAGGCCATCGTTCGGCTTGCTTGGCTCAACTGGGCTCCGCTTGATGGCACCACCTATTCAGCCTAACCCGGCGAAAACGGAAATTGTGAAGGCAGTGCCTCCTGCGCTGCGTGGTGCAGCAGCCAGCCCCACGCAGAAGTGGCTTCTGCGCCGCACGAAAGTTTGGTCACTTGAAAAAATCAAGTTAAATCTATTTAAATGTGTATATTATCGTATAATGCGTTAAACCTACAAACCTGTTACTAAATAAGTGTTCGATGAGTCAGTTTACGTATGTTTGTTAATTAAACACATATCGCTATGATTTTAAACCCAGGGGGAGCCAGCCACGGGTTGCTGCGGCTGCGAAAGGTAACAGCGGATGACTGTAGCACAGATAGCTGCGACGTGTGGTTGTTATTTTTTATAGCTAGTTTCATTACCAGTGAATAATTGTTGTCGGACGCTCTGACGTCATCGGGTTCATTTCCAGAATATCCCACTCATGGGACCCGTCGTGTGGTACATTTAGCTTAATTTCTCGGTGAGTAGTGGACTTCTGTTGATAATTTATTGCCGTTTTAGACGTCGCCATGCATTGAGCTTTCGCTCTGACATTGTTATTTACCTTTAGTGTACCGTTAAACAGGGGTATTCTCGTCTTCTGTCATCCTGTGGAAGTCAGGCAGTTCGGAAAGTCATTATTACATATGAAAAAATAACAGGAGTCCGAGGATAAACCCCTGTGGAACAGCGGTGTTTTTTTTGCATCAAATGGTACTCCTGACATGCGTTATGGGTGTATTGTCCAGCACTGCTGAAAAACTACAGTGGTTTTTATTAATGATGTACTTGTTCGGGTTGTCTGAATAAAACCCGAAAGCATGTCATAGTAGCGGGGAAAAAAAACATTACCTCGGCGGATGCAGGCCTCTGTTTCACAAACATTATAGGTTCCTGAAAAAAAGAAAAGAATCAATTTGTGATTTCTTCCTAGTTAATAAAACTATAGGCGTGTTTGTCCGGAAATTATTAGAAAGTACGGTTGACATTGTTGACGCTGAGATACGAACAAAAAAAGGTTATGGTACGAAAAAAAAAAACGAGGACAAAGAAGACACATACGACACAGACTTGCGCTGTCTTCAAACTGACATTTATTGAAAAGCACGAAGCCAGTTTTTTTCCATGCGTCATGTTATCAACTACTCGAGCACGCAATCACAGATGATCGAACATAAACTGCATTTCATTGTTTGCACCTATGTCTGCAACTGCATCTGTCGTTTAAATTTCCCCAAAATTGCAAAATATTCTGGCGCATTTTCGCGCCAAAGACGATGGGTTGTTCCAGTGAGCTTCGAAAAACTTCCGCTGACTGTAGGTGGACTTTAAAACCGAAGACACTCTCTCACCGAATTTCAGGGGCCAAGCTCCTTAGGGTGTGGGTGTTTCCCTTCTCCGTCAATAGTGCATAGTATGTAGCCTGCTCTAGTTTATCAATCTCTCACTAGATGGCGCTCTGCGTCTACAAGTAAAGTTGTGTATAGTATGGCTAGATGGCGGTAAGGTATTCTTATAGTTAAAGCTTTATTTGCAGTTGTTTAATAAAGAGAAGGAATGGGGCGGGTGGGGGGGGGGGGGTCGGACGGATGGATGGACAGTCAGACGGACGGACGCTTTGCTCCACTCATCATCATTCACTCCGTGGATATGTTGTAATTTTTTTAAGCTCCCGTGACTTTGTTGTAGGTGGATGAAGACAAGCACTGCGGTATGTGGTACATGTACTTCGTGCTAAGCGGCAGACGCTCAAGAAACGGTCAAATAAATACGGCGCAAACACCGGTAGCTTCTCAGCTGTGTCGCGCCATCTCTTGAACAAAATTGAAACTAACCATAAATTACCCGGCCGCATTAGTTGGCCTGTAAACGGCTCTTTCGGCTCTCTTAAGATGTACGCGGCAGTTTTTCGCTTGGCACCTTCGACTTGACGCCGATGTAAATCATCTCTACTTGACTTGAAGGGAAAAAAAAAGGTCGTTAGTTCGAAACCCGTGGCGGAGGTTCCATTACGACGACGGCGAAATGCTAGAGACTCTTTTCCGGGTTGATGGCCAGTCTACGTTACTGAACACCAGATGGTCGAAAATTATGAAACCCTCCACTACGGCGTGCCTCGAAATCATGTAAAACTTCGGATACTATAGTAATTGTGCAAGTGATGTGTCGCATTGATTTGCAATCCGTGTACGGCCATGCGGGCGCATCGGGGCCTGGCAAACCCACTCCGGTGCCTAAAGTATATTTGCCATCTAATGGACGATTCGGTAATCTTCACCCAATTCTTTTTATTATGTGCCATGCCCCTAAACACTCCGTACGCTGGCATTTATGTGACATGAACGCTTTCTCGGACACCCATAACAAAATTACTGGCAGTCTTTTTTTTTTTAGTCCTAAAAGCATGACATCATGATGAGACGTCATAGTGTGTGTTTTTTACATGATAGAGACATTGATTGTCTACTAAACATTGCATACGCTAAAAAACGTACGTCATAAAATAGTCTAAGGCATGAGATAATTCCAGTGGCTTCCGAGACTGACTTCGTGGGGAAAGGGAAAAAAGATTGGGGTAACTTACTTTTATTTTCGATGGATTTTGTCGGAGTTGAATAAATGAGATGTCCCCATGCTAGCAGGATCCCCAATGCTGCGAGATTTTGGAGTTGCATAGCTTCTCCTATAGGTGGAGTACAAAAGTCAGATCGTACGATGTTAATTTGCACTGTCTGCGCAATCGGAAATCCGTTAATAAGTATAATTCCGAGCACTTGTTGCGTGTAAATTACGTGAATTAGTCGTCATACAATCGAGAGCATGCTGTAAAGTACTTCAAAAGTGACTCGCGTAAGAAGCATTGAGTCTAAATACGAAACTATGAAAATGTTAAGTGTGGCTGAATCTGTCGTGGCTTGGTGCAAGATGCATGTTGGCTGAAGCTGACCCGAGATCTACGGGACGTTCTTGACAAATGGTGATGATGGAAGCGAGTTCAGTATAAAGTTTAATTTGTAACAAAATACAAAAACTGCAAATCAGTCCTGCGAAATCTCGCAAGGTGGCGGAGGGTTTAGGAAAGGGACATTGACAACCACCTGACTTTAGCACAAAGCTGCAAGAAAATCCTACGGACTTCTCAGAAAGAAAGCTTATTATTTGCTGAAAAATTTGTCCTGAACCAGGGATGAAACCAGGGACGAAAGCCTTCCCGGGGTGGTGTCCACGTCGGTAACTTTAACGCTTGAACGTCACGGAAAAGCTGCCATAGGCAGCGTTGGCCGGACGAATGCGAACCATAAATGTCAGTGTCCGAGCAGGAATCGAAGTCTAGAATTTTGCGTGGCAATGGGGTACTCGACCACAGAGCTACGCCAGGCCTGAACTATAACTTTCGAGTTTACCATAATGTTCGTGTAACGTCAATGGTGGTCAGTATTGACGATCGAGTTTTATAAACATTACATATGTACTCATATGATGTGGCCGTCATGTCGGGTTAACGTACATTGTAGTTAGGCGCGATCCGCTGAAATGGACTTGTGCAGCAGTGTTGAGGACTACCATCCTCGCGTGCACCAGCACAAGCACAAGCGCTTCATATCAGCTTACCACCGCTTTAGTGTGGCTAATATGCCATGTTGCTGTTGGCATCGTTACACATCTGTTACTGCCAATATGAAACGAATTTCGCTGTTTGATATATCTGGTGGGGGGGGGGGGGGGGATTTGTAGATGCATTTAGCGCGCCACTTCGTGGTATAAAAAAATGAAACACATTCACCTGCCATCCGCATGCTTCGTTAAGGATGTATACGCTTTCCGCGTTATACTGTTTAAACTCCTCATTAGGACGATTAAATGACGATGGGGGAGCCGTGTAGAACTCTAAAAAAGATTATGGTAGCTACTTTAAATTGTGTTCCTCTTTAATAATTAAAACGCGTAAGGCAAATGAAGAGGCGTAAGCTAGCACTGTTTATATATATATTGCTCAACATGATTGAGTGGGTCACAGAAAACTAGATTGCGAAAATAACGCACAATAGGTGTACACAAGATGCGTATAGGCAGCCTGGAAAGATGGTACGCAAGGCATGATTGATATTGCCACGTCGTTCCTTCCTCAGGTTTTGTTATCGCCCCATTACTGGACGCGATTCTCGGCAAAAACCGTGCCTGCAGTATTCGAGAAGCTGCGGGGCTGTAGAAGATCAATGCGTTAAGATCACGCCCACTTCTCGAATGGGCCTGATCTCAACGAATTGATCTACTACAGCCCCGAAGCTTTGCGAATACTGCAGGCATGGTTTTTGCGGGGAATTACGTACAGTATATAACGGGTTTATAACAAAACTCGAGGAAGGAACGACGTGGCAGTATCTCCAAATTGAATGTATTCAGGGTGATAACGCAACGATCCCCATCAGCACCAGGATCGTCACCACCATCATGTATGACCAGCTCTCTGTAACAACAACCTGACGTTGCGTGCAAAGCTATACCACTAAAATCTTATTTGTGTTATTGTAGCTCGGCTCGTATACGGTGGCGAAATTTTTTTTGTTGTTGTTATCAGACATTTTTTCTATGCGTACCTGGAGAAGCTCCCCGAAATCGCGAAGTTTTGTTCTAAAAGTATATTCAACTTCATTTTCACCTTCATTTGCACGCACTCTGTTTTCTTCGCTGGTTTCCTCGCTGCGCGCTTCATAGCCTGTCAATCTACACTGCGTCCTTTTTCATGTCAACAACACCGAGACGTAAGATCACTTCTCACCAACGAATGTTGCTGTTTCACCGGACAACCAATAAGCAAGACTGATTGACTCGGTATACCGAGAAAAATTCTAAATTATTTTAATGGCATTTACATTCGAAATGAGAAGCTGACGGAAAGTGCAAGAAACTCGGTCACAGAAGAAGCGTATCTTGTTTCTTGGGTAACCTACCGCTCAAGACAATAGGAAAGAAGTTATGGATTCCAGTTTGATCCAGTGAATGTTAGCATTAGGCGCACGTCTAAATTTACGTTATCTAGGTTCACGTTGCTCGTCCTTGCATGAGAATAATATATTTATAATGATACAGTTAAGGTTCAGTTTAAATTTGCTGTCAAAGTCAAGAGGCCAGTTAAGTTTACGTTGAATTTATTTTGCACCCACCAAAAAAAAAAGACCTTTTTGTTTCATCTTACATGCATAGATATACGCACCACTTCTTGTGAAAGCATAATTTTCGGACGATTACCGTTTGTTAAACTCATTGGCATCATTTTTTTTTTTCATAATCATGATCCCATCGCGTGCGGTATTTGTTTGATGCACATCGCGTTGCTTAGGTATATAACACGAAACAAGCTTACCGTGTGAAGCGCCAGTTTATACTCTTCTGCAGAGTGGTTGCTCCTTGCTGTTGTTTGTAGCTTTCGGGTAGTTTACGATAGCACTTTGCAGCGATACACCGAGATAAGACCCCACCACAAGCGTTTATCGGACTGCAATGAGCCTGTGGTCGCTCTCGATAGGAGTTCCACAAGCGGGCTGTCAAGCTTTTACACTGTGCAGAGACTCCAATCCTTGCCAGTGTTGCATGTGATCCAGCAGACCTGCAAGTTGTTAAGGTCCTGTCAAAACGTTAATGGTATATAAGCATTGTCCTCGCATCAAAGTCACAACGAAAACTTCTTCGAGAGGTCGCCTGTCACGATAGAGCCGTTTCTCGAAATGTGTTTTTTTTTTTATGCGCGCGCTGTACCCAAATCAAGTGCGCATTTCAGGAAAACAGAAAATTTCGGTCAGTGTCGAAGGCGCTTATGTTTTTTTTTTCCAAGCGAGGATAAGCGACGCAATTAAAAAAAGCAACGTTGAGAACTTACAGCGTCTTCAAATTGGCGGTGCTTTCTTTTAAATTATTACAACTTAACAATAATTGTCGGGATTTTACGTCCGAAAACTGCGCTAGGATTACGAGGGACGCATGCAGTTGAAAGAGAGAGAGAGACGAGACATTATTCAAACAAGAAAAAAAAAACGTCCGGTGAGTTCTTCAGGGATCTGGGCAGATACCACTCAGCTTTGCGCAGTACATTTAGAGGGACAATTGTGGGCAGTCAAACGGACGAGCAAATTGGCTGAAAGGCTAGGTTTTTCAACATATTTGCACAGCGCAACACTACGAGTAGTTACGACGTAACTACAGAAGAACAGACAAGGACGGAAAGAGCGCTGTGCAAATACTGTAGTCTTGCGTTGTGCAAATATGTTGATTCCCAATCGTCAACTAGCCCAAGAATCTGCCTTTTTAGGTCGTTCACTCCGGAGTGGCTCGCTTCGGGCTAGGACTTTAGGACGACCTATTGGAGCTTAATAAAGTTCTTTCATCCATCCATCTGGTGCTCTGTATCGTACAGTACGCAAGCATCTATCATTTTGCCTCCATAGAAATTTGACTGGCGCGGCCGGAATCTAACCTTTCAATCTGCAGCCAAGCACCGTAAACACAGCACCAGCGCGATTTACTCACTTTAAATCCCGACAAATATCGACAACCTCGTTTGTAAACGTCTGGCGTCACCGAATTTAGCTTTCTGTTTAAAAGGTTCAGTTAAAATTTTTTTTTTCGTTTCTATGCTTATTCAAATCGATCCCCGGTGATCGATGCGTCGAATCGTCGATTTTGGCGTGTTGGATGTGTTTGTCACCTATAGGGCCTCCCAGTAGTCAGTCTAGTCATTAAACTTTCACAATCAGTTTGAATTCGCACATTTTGGCAACGTAGTGAACTATGTATCACTTCTAAGAGCGCGTGGTACTTGGTCGCGGTTTAAATAGTGTGCATTATTTCTTGTATGGGAGGTTCAACGTCCCAAAACCACCATATGATTATGAGAGACGCCGTATAGTGGAGGGCTCCGGAAATTTCGGCCACCTGGGGTTCTTTAACGTGCACTCAAATCTGAGCACATGGGCCTACAACATTTCCGCCTCCATCGTAAATGCAGCCGCCGCAGCCGGGATTCGAACCCGCGACCTGCGGGTCAGCTGCCGAGTACCTTAGCCACCACACCACCGAAGCGATGCTGTGCGTTCCTTCTGATAAAGCGAGTTGTGACAAGGCATTGTGTGGTGGGTTCTATACTACGTAAACTACATTAATTTCAGTAAAGTAGCTTTTAAATGTTGTAGACTAAGCTAAATAAAAGTAATAGCTGGTGCAACCTTGAGTTTTCTTTAACGACAGTATCCTATTTCATTGATTTATTATTTATTGTGAGCAGCGTGTGCATGTACTTGGATAGACGATTTCGTTATAGTTGACGTGTTTTACGAGAAGTCGTAGCACGGTACGTTGTAATATGCCTCCGTGATAGTTCGCGCAGGGTGCTCGAATAAATGTTCGCGCAGGGGGATTAGACACAGCGCCTGCAGCCTGCGCCGAGTCCAGTTCAAAGTTTTTCCAGGAAACGTTGCGCAGCTTTTGCACATCAACGTCAGTACCTCAGCCTCCGTGTTTACGGTTTTAACGCTTCTGTTACTGTGCTTGATGAGTGCTGCCCGGGAGTGGGCTCCCATTTGTCACTGTCAAGGTTTGCACGTGCGCAAGTTTTGTATTTATTTAAAGTTTTATGCAGTCACAGTGTCTTCAAGAGCAACGAATACGGTGGCGTGTTACCTCAGAAAAAGAAAGGAAATGGTGTTCATTAATCGGACAGGCATGGGCCGCTGGACAGTTCAAGGTATAATACGCACTACGAAAATACAATTTTCAGTTCAGTTTCAGTTCAGTTTATTCATTCATTCAAAATACAAAATTCGTAGAATGTAGTATGCAGACGAGGGTCCCAAAGTCAAGCGACTGCAGTGAGACCCTCGGATAACAATAACAATAAAATTATTAATTATAACAGCACGTAAAATTCGCAACACACGTGAAAAGTAAACAGTGAACTTACATAAAATAATATCAAGTAAACAAAAAAGGCAGTCAGAATGCGACACAAGAACAATAGTAATAAGTTATACAAGTAAAACATAATCACGCCATAAAGCAATAACCTAAATTTGCAAAGTCTTTCCAATTTCATGCCCGGATACATAATAATCGTTAAGTAATCATCGTTGTCAACCTAGTTATGCAAGATAAAGTTTTTAAGATCACGTTTGAATGCATGAAAAGATGACGATGATTTTAGTGTATAGGGCAGGTTATTCCACAATTTAATGACCGCGAAGGCGGACGTCATTTTGCCATAATAGGTGTTACATTTAGGTAAAAGGAAGTTGTGACTGTGGGCGAATCTAGTGCTATTGGTGTTAGTGAGTAAACTAGCATCGATTAAATCAAACACAAACTGTTTGTTAAGTTGTTTATGTAACAATATGATTAAGTGAAAATTAATTAAGCCAGACACAGTAAGAATACAGTTAGCCTGAAGGAGTGGGGTAGCATTATAATAAGATGAACTGTTGGTAATAATGCGAATAGCCTGATTCTGAATGATTCTGAACCCACTTATGTCAATGCTCAAGTGCCATGAGTGCTATATTGTTATAACGGATAATTGCTATAAACGGGTTGTTCGAAAAAAAATGCTAAGTATGGCGGTAGCAGGCTACTGCGAGAAAATTAAATCAAATCGAATGTGGCAACAGACATAATTGTTAAGGATAAAAAAGCTGCCGATATTTTGGAAATGCGGGAAAATTCGGACGCTTTCACGGGACTGCCAAAAGCCTTATAGAGCCGGCGTATGACGATGTCTGAAGTTTAGTAATCTGAGTGTCTTCCATCTTTCAACTTCTTTTACTAACAGCTCGCGGGTTTTGAATCCCGGCTGCGGCGGCTGCATTTCCGATGGAGGCGGAAATGCTGTAGGCCCGTGTGCTCAGATTTGAGTGCGCGTTAAAGAACCCCAGGTGGTCGAAATTTCCGGAACCATCCACTACGGCGTCTCTCATAACCAATCGTGTGGTGGTTTTGGGACGTTAAACTCGACAAATCAATCAACTTTTTTTACTAATTGCATGTTTGAAAGTGCAAAACAAGCCACCACTGCTTCCACGCCGTATCGAATTTTATAAGTCAGTTTTGCCGCAATTCTGTGCCACTATGCGGTGTAGCGTAACGATAATTCGAAGGGGTGCTGGGGGACAGTGGGGTTGCGATCAGGGTTTAGTATAGCTTGAACTTCTTGTTTCTGAGGCGGTCTGCGTCGCTGGCAGGCATTCTATTGCAGAGCTACGATATTGCTTGACACTTTGGGTTAAAAAAAAAAAACGTTGTTCAGTAGCTCGAGTTTCTTGTTTTCATATTTCTATTCATGAACTTCGCATTTCACTACCATTCGGCACGGCAATACAACAGACAGAAATAATTGCTATAACTGATCATCAGCATGCGGGAATTGTTGTAAGCGGGTGATTTCAACATAGAAACATTGATGTTGCAGTAGCTTTTCGTTGTTACAACAGATATATAGTAAAATCAGTGTCGCTACAAGTGGATTCAATGTTACTATGATCAAATGATTGTATTAAACATTGCCAACCCTAAGAAAAAAAATCGTCTTTAAAATGACTCTTTTCTGACTTGTCAGGGCTGACATTCGAAATGAGTCATTCGTTTATGACCTTTTCAATTGTCCTTATTCTGGACCTCATTATTGGTGGTGTATATATTGAATTTAATTTGCGCAGTTGTCCATAAGTTGATCTACGTGGTCTCTATAATCTTTAACCAAGTCAATACCTGGGTTTTTCGCACACCTGATCGGTCACACTCTGAGACGACAATTTCACAACGCGTTGTAATTAGTCAACTTTTGAATTATTGCTTGGCTCGCTTTGTTGCTCATTTTAAGTTGTAGGCTGCCGAAAACAGCATCGGAAGCGAGCATTTATTCCTCTCTGAAACCTGCGTTTTTCCGTCCGAGGAAAAAAAAAACAAAGCAATTCCAGCCACTTCATAACCTTTGGTTTGGTTTGGTTTGGTTTGGTTTGGTTTGCTTTATTCAAGGCAAAATTGAGCAAGATTGCCTTGGGGGACAACGACTAAAGGCTAAGTAAATGCCTGACTTGGTCGTGCCACCCTGGCAGCAAAGCAGAAACATACCGCAAGTACTGTACGCAGAAAATTACAACATCACGTGTTATCTTACACGGGTACCATAGTCGAACAGGAACTGCCAGAAGTGAGAATAAAAGAATATAAATATAAACAGTCCTTATTCGAGTGGTGGCAAACACAAACAAATGCATGTTTTCTATCAAATAAATTAACAAGAGACATTTTGACTAGGAAATCGAGTTCCTCTACAAGACAAATTAGATTATAATAAACAACAGGCAAAGGGACAATACTGAACAAGGTGCAACGAATACAAAAACATCATTAACTACAAATTTCAAAAATCAAGAAAAGCATCGCTTTCATCGACTAGAAACTCTTTCGATATTTTTTTTAAATGATCTAGCTGAAATTCCGTCTTCCAGTAAATGTAATGTAGTTGGGTGTTTGTTTAGAATGTTTGGAATTTGTGACGCTAATCGTTGGTCACCGTAGTTCGTGCGGGATCTATATTTGTATATACCGTGCATGAAAAC